GTCTTTCCTCTCTCTCTCTTCCTTGTCCATCCGTCTTCCCTCCTCCGTCCTTCCTCCTTCTCCTCTCCCTTCTTCCCTTCTCACTACCTCCTCCTTCCCTCCCTACCCCTCCCTCCTCCCTCCCTCCTCTCTCCCTTCCTCCCTCCCCCTCCTCTTCTCACCTTTAAAGATCATGTAGACAGAAAGTGAGGTCCTAAGTCTTCTTCCCAAGACAGACAGACAGACAGACAGACAAACAGAGCAGAAGCAGAATAAAGATAAACGCAGATAAAGGAGGGAGGAAAAGAGAGGTGGAGAGAAGGACAGAGAGGTAGGAGAATGAAAGAGGGAGAGATGGAGAAAAAGAGGGTGACGAAAATAAGAAATGGAGACAGAAGACAGAGTCAGAGGTATAGAAAGAGAAGAGAGAGAGGGAGAGGGGGGGGGGGGGGGGAGAGGAGGGAGAGAGGGGGGAGAGAGAGAGACAGAGACAGAGAGAGAGGAGAGAGAGAGAGAGAGGAGAGAGAGAGAAGAGAGAGAGGGGAGAATTAGGGTGGAAAGAGGAAGAAAGAGAGAGAGACGGGAAGAAGAGGGTGGAGAGACAAAAAGAGATAGGAGGGGTAGAGAGAGAAATAAAGAAAGATGGGAGGAGAAGAGGGGTGGAGAAGGAGAAAGGAGAGAGAGAGAGAGAGAGAGAGAGAGAGTGGTGGAAAGAGGGGGATGGAGAAGAAAAAACAAAAGACTATTAAACAAACAGACAGACAGAGAGCAAACACAAACAAACAAGCGGGGATAACGAAGACACCCAATGTTTGTGACAATAATAGAATATAAGTATTTAAGTAACCCAATTTAAGTAGAGTTTGTGCTGTGTTATAATTCTAAGTATGTGTTTACCTGTGTATTAGTAGTGTAAGTAATTAAAGGTTATGATGGTGTCCTTGGTATGTCCCTGCACTTTTAGTCCAAGGTTCGATTCTCAGAGGCTGCTGGTTAATTGGGTATATACCAACAACAGTATATGAGGAGCTTGTCTGAGTATGGTGGCGTGAGTAATCCATTGTTTACAGATTTTAAAGACCAGGTTTGACTCATAATCAACAGACCCAAGGGCTGGGTTATGTGTGGTGGTTAGCTATATGTAAATCAAAGTCTCAGATCTATAGAGACTTAATGATAGTTATAATAAAATACGTATTATTCACCACAACAAAAACAACAACAACAACAATAACAATACTACTACTACTACTACTACTACTACTAATAATAATAATAATAATAATAACAATAATAATAATAATAATAATAATAATAATAATAATAACAAAATAATAATAACAATAATAATAATAATAATAATAAAATAATAATAATAATAATAATATAATAATAATAATAATAATAATAATAATAATAATAATAATAATAATAATAATAATAATAATACATAATAATAATAATATATAATAAGAATAATAATAATAATAATAATAGTAATAATAATAATAAATAATACATATTAACAAAAGTAATAAGTGTACAATAACAAGTCAAGATTAACAAAACAACATGGTCTGGTTGGCCTCATCATCAGCTGTTGTTTTATTGTTATTGTTGGAGATTTGCTCAGGTGGATGACGTCACGTTTGCTACATGAATTCCCACATATATTTATACTTGGTATTTCCATAAATTAACGTTGGTGAATGGAGGGGGGCTGTCGTTACGAAACCTGCTATTGTTAACCTACAAACCAATCCCGGATTATTCTTTATCATTGTACGAAAACGCGGACTTGAGCTGAGTCGAGATTTCTCCCGAGCCAGCAATATGGCCTAGGGTCCAACTCGTCTACAAAATCTATTCTCATCTCGGTTTCAGTGGGATTGTGGTTCTATTGGATCTTAATTCATAGCACTATCTAGTTCCTGGGTTTCTGGAGTGTGCCTGGAGTACGTCAGATCTTCTGGATTCTTTGGACATAATTACTAGGAAACGTACGCCTGGCAGCGGCACTTCCCGGTATTAACTAGATTTTCCCCAAAGTGTTCAGAAAGGCCCAGATGTGTGGCTGAGAGTGAGTGTTATTATTATTATTGTTGGTATCTGTGGCATAGCTGGGGTCCTTGTGGTGGTGTGTGTGTGGTGTAGAGTGCTGTGGTATGGTGTGTTGTGGTATGGTTTGGTCTGGTGTGGTGTGTGGTGTGTGGTGCGTTGTGTGAGGGGTATATTGGTGTGTGTGATGTGTGTGTGTGTGGTGAGGCCCAGTGGTGTGGTATAGTGTGGTGTGTGGACTGGTTAGTGTGGTATTGTGCTGCTTCAGCTTTAAATACGCCTTTGGGGTAGGGGGGGGGGGGGGGGGGGGAGAGAGAGAAACAAAAAAAATTAAATAAGAGACAGACAAGAAAACGAGGGAGAGAAACAAAAGACAGAGAGAGTCAATCAACACACACACACACACACACACACACACACACACACACACACACACACAATAATACTATTTTTTTCTTCCCCATCCTCACTATTTCAGCGGTGAAGTGAGGGATTAAAGTGGATGTCTGAGTGGATTTGTAGAGTCGGATTATTTCGGCTTAATTATGAGCGTCGGATTAATATGTAAATGTGGCCCAGAGAGGGTGAGGCATACTGATATATTTGATCCTGTGTACGTCTGTCATTACCTTCATGTGCTACATACATAAACAAATACGTACATAGATGCGAGAATTAGGTTCAGTGGGTGTGGTTATAAGTACATGTGCACATACATATATTAACTGTTCATGGTAACTAAATGTGTGAGATTGTATATACTCACACACATAAGCACATAAGTACATATATCCACACACAGTAAATACACACACATAATAAACACACACACACACACACACACACACACACACACACAACACACACTTGACCACCGAAGGGTCAAGACACCTGGCGCTCCTCTCGGAGCAGCCAGGTCAACTATTGTTGGCCCTACCAACTCCTCCCCTGAACCCTCCTCCCCACCGGAATATCAACAAGTTCTCGCCAGAAGTTACAATTTCATTTAGGAAAGGAACGGAAACCAGTGTTAAACAGAGGTGAACAGTGGTGAACAGTGCTTAAGTTGGGTGAGAACAACTCAACAGTAACAGTCGTACCCAAGTTAACCTTCACACAGTGAGGTCCCAGGTACACCAGTGATAACGGCCCGTGAGACTCCAACAACCAACGATGTGTTAATCCGTCTACGATAGGAAGGCCTGGGACCAAACCTCACTCATATACACCATCTGTGAGGGAATTAATACACCACATGTCCTCATAACAACATATGTGAGGGAATTACTACACCACGTCAAGTCCTCATCACACCATCTGTGAGGAATTACTACACCACGTGAGGTCCTCATAACACCATCTGTGAGGGAGTTACAACCACGTGAGGCCCCTTATAACACCATCTGTGAGGTAATTACTACACCACGTGAGGTCCCTCATAACACCATCTGTAAGGTAATTACTACACCACGAGGTCCCTCATAACACCATCTGTGAGGTAATTACTACACCACGTGAGGTCCCTCATAACACCATCTGCGAGGGATTACTACACCACGCCAGGTCCTCATAACACCATCTGAGGGAACTACACCACGAGGCCCCCATAACACCATCTGGGAGGGAGTTACTACACTACGAGTTTGCTGGGTTCAACACCTACATTACTCTGTATGTTCACTGTATGTTCCTTTACCTTTCTAATGAAGGCTTTTGTTAAACCACCAATGTATGTAATAAGTCATTTATGTCCAATGTATATTTTCAGCCTTCAGGTCTGTGAATTTTCTCAATAAACCGTAAATTATTATTATTATTATTATTATTATTACACACACACACACACACACACACACACACACACAAACCATTTAGTGAGAATATAGCCAAGTCGCGTCGCCAACAAAATGACCTCAACGTAGAAGAGTAAATTAGCAGAATTAGTTTTAATCGCCGTTGTCGATGCCTAAGGAAACCGGGCCAATACCCCCCCTCCTTCCCCCCCTCTCCTCCCTTCCTTCTGCTCCTATCCCCACCTCCTCCACTAACTCCTTCCTCCTCTTCCCTGCCTGGTTAAAAGCCTCTCAGTTCCCTGTTCATCTAAAGGAATCCATACCACCAGGTCTCCTAAGGTTGGTATTTGAATGGAAAGTATTAGGAATATCCACCTTACTGCTGTGGTGAAAAGCCGGAATTTATAGTTAGCTCATGCATTAGAAAGGTGTTATATAATATGGTCCAATAAGGTTGGTTATCGAAAGGTTTTGAAGAAGAATTTCGACCATACACTTATCAAAAAACTAGGTGAAATTTAGTAATTATATAGATCTCTTTACTCGTTCGGGGCAAAGGGAAGTAAACTTATTGGTTCTAGTAGGGTCATTTTTGAATGGGTGTAAATAGGACATCGACCGTATGTTTATGTTTTCAAAAATAGCGGAAATTGAGAGAAGCTTGAGACTGTTTGTTGTTATATGTTTATGGGAGAAAATTGTGAACTGTTTTTTATTACGAGAGAGAGAGGGGGGAGGCCTCAACTCCTTGCTCAGATCCACTTCTCCTCCGTCCTTCTTCCTCTCTCTCTCTCTCTCTCTCTCTCTCTCTCTCTCTCTCTCTCTCTCTCTCTCTCCCTCTCTCCTTCCCATCCTGATTTACGACCCAAGACAACGCGAAGAAAAAAAAGTGAAAATGCAAAAATCGAGGTATGAAAGGTTTAATTTGTGACCTCTCCTCTCCTCTCCTTCCCAACCCGTGTGAACTTTGACCTTAGCGACCACAGGATATAATTATCGATAACTCACCTCACTAATTCAGACCATCTCCTCCTCCTCCTCCCGACCCCTCACCTCCCCCCTCCTCCTCCCTCCTGACTCCCTCCCCACCCTCCTCCCTCCCCTACCCCACCCCCACCTCCCCCCGACGTCCATCACCTTAATGTCCCCGGCAGTAGCGGCAGGAGTGTAATGGTCTATGATTCATTCCGCACTCCATTGTTGCTGAGTCCGGACTGCGTGACTGTAGAGTTTGGTGGAGGTTTGGAGATCCGGTTTGTGGGAGATTCTGTTCATTATTCCGGTATTTCGGTTTTTTTTTGTGAGAGGAGGGGGTTTCAACGTGTATTTTTGATTTATTTTTTATTTTAGGACCGGTTTTGTGGGAGATTATGGTTTTTAGTCCGGTTTAGGGGTTTGTGCGTTTTAGTCCGGTTTAGGGGTTTTGTGCGGTTTTTAGTCCGGTTTAGGGTTTTTGTGCGTTTTAGTCCGGTTTAGGGTTGTGCGGTTTTTAGTCTGGTTTAGAGGTTTTTGTGGTGTTTAGTCTGGTTTAGGATTTTCGTGGTTTACGTCCGGTTTAGGATATTTCGTGATGTTTAGTCCAGCTTATGGGGTTTTGTGCTTCTTAGTCCGGTTTTTGTGGTTTTGAGTCTGGTTTTGCATTTTTTCCATTTTAATTTCGTTTTTCAAGTCCGGTTTTGAGGGTTTTGTGTTTTAAAGACCGGTTTTTGGGAATTTTGGTTTTATTGTAAGTTTTGGGGTTTTATATTCATAACAGAAGTCCTGTAAGAGTTTAGTTTATGGTTAAGTCCGAAAATAATAACATAAAAAAACATGCCCAGAAAATTAATGTATCAGACATATTCAAAATAAAATTCCAGCCACTAAAAGTCTCCCCAAAAAGATCCTGAAACTTGAAGTCCAAAAAGTCCCGATACTTAAAGTCTTCGAAAAATAATAATAAGTTCAGAAACATATAAATGGATTAAAGTCAGACTGGGGTGCGGTCAAAAGCGGAGTTCCCCAGGGATCTGTATTAGGCCCTCTGCTGTTTGTTATATTCATTAATGATCTTGATTTAGGTATAACTAGTAGGATTAGTAAATTCGCAGATGATACCAAAATGGGAGAGTGATAAATTCAGACAGTGACTTTGAACACCTAAAGAGATCTAGATACCTTACAGGTGGTCAGTAGACTGGCACATGAATTTTAATACTGATAAATGCAAGTACTACAGATGAGGAAGACGAATACAAACGTTAAGTATAAACTAGGTAACACGGAAATAGAAAACTCAGATTGTGAAAAAGATCTGGGTGTATTTGTTAGCAACGACTTGAAACCTAGAAAACAATGATTAGCGTTCGCAACAAGGCAAACAGGATTCTTGGGTTCATATCTAGGAGTGTGAGTAACAGAACTGCTGACGTTATCTTGAAACTTTACCTAGCATTAGTGAGGCCACACATGGATTATGCGGTTCAATTCTGGTGTCCTTATTATAGAATGGACATAGATTCTTTGGAGAGAGTACAAGAAGAATGACAAAAATGATCCATAATATTAGAAACCTTCCATATGAAAAGATTGAAAAGCTTAGGCTTGCATTCATTAGAGAGGCGTAGAGTTAGGGAGATATGATAGAGGTGTTCAAGTGGGTAAGTGGGATTAACAAGGGTAAAATGGAAGATGTTCTGAAGCTCAGTAATAACGAAATAACTAGAACAAATGGCTTTAAATTAGATAAATTCCGATTCAGAGAAGGATATGAAGCACTGGTTTGGTAATAGAGTTGTGGATATGTGGAATAGGCTACAGTGCTATAGTAGGATCAGGGACTGGGAGCTTCAAGACGAAGTTGGATAGGCACATGGAAGTGCTGGGATGGGTGTGAAAGGATCTGCCCTGTATGGGCCAGTCGGCCTCCTGCAGTATCCCACTTTCTTATGTTCTTATGTTCTTATATAATTTAAAGTCCGAAAAAGGACCAACAATAGTCCAGAAAAATGGAATGATGATCAGAGTCCACACATAAAAGTCTCGGAAATTTTTGAAAAAAATATCCGAAAACTTAAAAGAATTTAGTCCTAAAAATCTATAAAAAAAAGTCTAAAAATTTGAAAAAAAAAAGAAAAAAAAGTCCGGAACCTCAGGAAAAAATCGGAAAATAAAAAGACAAATAAATAAAAATCCAGAAATATGGAATGGGAATAAATTCCAAAAAGTCCAAGGGTTCAAGAATACAGTGAAAAGGGAGGGTGGGGGGAAGGAGAGTTTAGCAATGTGAGTTCCCAACGTCTGAGTGGGACTTGGGAGGCTTAGGACGGCTCAAGACACAGGATTCCCGTCCCTGGTGATTGACTTATGCAAATTTTAACTCTGGGGGAAGGGGGATTTAATCTTTACATCCTTCCACCCACCTCCTTCTACCCCACCCCCCCTCCCCCGATCGTGGGTTATATGGTGCTGGGGGGTGAAAGGGAAAAGGGGGATTAGGGGGGTAAAGGGAGAGGAGAATTGGTGGGTGGTGAGGAAAAGAGGGGAGAGTGGTGGGTGGTGAGGAAGAGAGAGGAGTGAGGGGAAATGGGAAGAGAGGAAGAGAGAAGATTGAGATGGAAGAAATGGAGATGAGAGGTGGGAGAAGGATTGAAATGGGAGGGAAAGAGGAAGGAGGAAAACAGAAGGAAAGAGGGAGGTAGAAGGAAGCAAGGTTAAAACATAGAGAAAGATAGAAAGAGAGACAGTTCATAATCAGGTCAGATGTTCAGTCTCTCTCTCTCTCTCTCTCTCTCTCTCTCTCTCTCTCTCTCTCTCTCTCTCTCTCACATTCCGGCATCATCTCTTTCTCCTCTTGGGTGAGATAAACATAACTACCTCCCTCGTCCAGAGTGAACAAGAGCATCACTCGTTAAGGCGCTTGTTTATATAAGATAAGAGAGTGAGAGAGAGAGAGGAGTGATTGATTGGAAGAAAGAAAGTGAAAGAAAGAAAGAAAGGGGGCATTGGGGTCAGGTACATGGAAGATAAAAAGGATTCAACAAAAGGATAGATAGATAGATTCGGGAAGAGGCCAGATATACATCAGATCTTTTGATATTAAGATGAAAGGTATTTCTTAATATGCTAATGAGTCACTTCCTATAAGTTCCCATTACCTGTTATACTCCCTCAGGTGTGAGCTTTAAACCACCAGAGTTAAGGGTTACACGCACACGTACTACACAATTACACACACGTACACATATACTCACAGGAACATATACACACAAAAACACACACACACACACTCACGCCCAAACACACACTGACATACATGCTGTACACACAATCTTTACACACACACACACACACACACACACACACACACACACACACTACTTTGTTGTCACTAGAATCGATTATGACGATCATCCATATGGTACAATGAAATGAGTTATTAGGGATGTCACCTTCGTTGGTGAGTTTTGAGGTGACTAAAGGCCAATCTGACACCTGCGGTCGATCACGGAATGTTGCTGCACATGTGGAGGCTACATGTAGTGCGGGAGGGCGTTGGTGCTTGTCTACCTCGTTATGCAGTCGGGCTAACTCGAAAGTATTGACTCTTTCTAGAATGGTGATCTTCCAAAGCGTTACGGTGTGGAGTAATAGTCTCTCAGGTGAGGGGTCGATTTGGCACTTTCAGATTTGTCTTAAGACTATCTATACCGTTTCCATTGCCCCGCCAGCGTTACGTTTACTATTCGTTAAGTGACTGTAAAGTGGCTGCTTTGGCAGTCTCCTGTCGTCCATGCGATGTATAGCCAGTCCAGCGTAGTTGTTCATGGATAATGGTAGCCTCAATGCTCCTGCAGTTGGTGTCAGCAAGAATACTGGCATTTGTTCTCTTGTCTTCACACACACACACTACACACACACACACACACACAGACACACACACACACACACACACACACACTCACACACACACACACACACACACACACACACACACACACACACACACTTGTAAGTTTGACAAAAAGATTCATATGGTGTTGAAACTCTAATAAGGACCTTTGATACAGCCATCTAAGACACCGCTTTACAACTACGTTTTTTTTTTTAAACGTGGCCTCCAGCCTCCTCCAATAGCCACACCTTCATCGCCATTTTTTGTATAAAATAAATATCCTACTACAAAAGGCTACTACTACTACTACTACTACTACTACTTTTTTTTTTTTTTTTTTTTTTTTTAAAACGTGTTGCAGCAGCTCTCCCCAATAGCCACACCTTCGCCACCATTTATTTACCTTAATATTAAATATCCTAATACATAACAACTATCCTATCTGTTAAATTTGGTGGGCCGCAGATGAATTGCGGCCTGAGCCTCATAGTCGATATCTGCAGCAGGTTGACGGGTGAGGGAGAAGCTCTCTGTTCCCTGAGCAGAACAAAGCCGACCGAAGGAGAGAAAGGACAGTCGACATCTCATCCAGGCTGTGACATAACTTCTGGGCTGCTGCTTCTGTTCGGAGATCAGCTCCGCGCGAGTCTGGTATGAAACATTCTTGCGCTTGGGCCCATCCCACCAGAGGTTGTGAACACTAGGGAGTGGCTGCCTTGATCGACATTTTGAATTCTCTCCCCATATGCCCTTCTCTTTCGTTCTCGTTCTCCTATGTGCTAGTTAAGCCTCAGGATCTATGAGTCATTCAGTGACTGTTGCCTTATGTCTATGTCAGCGACTGTTGTTGGCTTAGGGGCCTATGCTCTGGTTCCCTGAGGCAGACAATGCAGACCTGAGTTGAGAAAAAGACAGTCGACATCTCAACCAGGCTGCAACGTAACTTCTGGGCTGCTGCTACTGTTCGGATATAGCACCTCGCGAGTCTTGCGTAGAAGTAATTGCATGGTCCCACCGCCAGAGGTTGTTCACCAAGTAGTGAAGCTGCCTTGATCCACATTCTGAATTCTCTCTGCCTGTTCTTGTCGTTTTCGTTCCTCCTGTGTGCAGCATCGGGGAGCTAAATTACGGTGGCAGCGGCCATGGGATCAAATATCCTGATTGGAAGAAGGCTCGCTGTCCCCGCGTCCAGAATCCTCGACCACTGACGTCACATGGGCTTTGTTGGATGAGGTCCTTTGACGGAGTTCTCACCGTCAATGGGAGGAGGTCGGTTCCACTGTGACGTCATGGCGAATTTCCTTCAATTTGTTTGCTGTAAGGTCCTTACTTCGTTATGCCTCATGCATACAGTCCCCTCTTGCACACCATGGCGTGGTC